TTCACCAGTGACAAAGTAGATCTTGTCTTGACCATCCTGTTCCACGTTCGGGCCACAATGAGAGATAGCGCACATGTTTAGCCACAGAATCACAACTACGTATCATTTCTTGACTCTTGACTGTTCTATGACAAGGTTGCGGGATGAACTTTGGGAAGAACATAATGTCAACAACACCCCACTTTGTGAGGGCCATGCCAAGGCATAAGTTGATTTGATTAAACCCTCCCCAAAAATCCCAGCCGTCCTTCATGCGGCTGATGTACTCGTCCAAGCTAGTCTGGTTGTCGCCGCTCTTGGAGGACCAAAATCGAACGAAGCGCTTCAGCTCATCCTGGCCAAAGACTCAAAGCAGGCTAAAGCCGGCTCAAGGTTCCCTGCAGCGATCTGGTTTTCACACAGCAAGGCTCCAACATGCATCAAATTGCTCCAAATGTGATTCAGTCATATTCAGTCCTTGTAGTCGAGATCCTCCACCAAGCCAACCTTGAAGTACTTGCCATAGCCTAAGAAAACGGTTGTCTTGGGCATGGCGGCCGTGGCCTAGCCCTGCTACCACGCAGCTAGTCCAGAAAGACTCGAACTTGGCAGGGTCGCTCTTTCGCAGGTCCTTGGCACAAAGACGTCAAGTTTGCCCTCGCCTGAAACAATGTTTCTTCTAGTTACTAGTAGCGACGCTCTTGCTGCTAGTAGCTTCTAGCTACTACAGTGTAGGCAGTGTAGGTATATTAGCTTGTTAGCTTGTCAATGATTGAAAAGGACAATGCATTGTAAAACCTCAGCTTGGCCACGTCGATGGTGTCAAGCACCTTGCGGACCACCCTCTTGCGGATGATCTTCAGTGTTCGGCTCTTCTGCAAGATCTCTCGGCCCACGTTCAGTGGCAAGTCTTCAGAGTCCACCACACCACGCACAAAGGTCAGCCATCGAGGCACCAAATCCTGGAAGGACCAGGGGTAGGGCGGAAGTGGCCTTCGTGCACATACGAATTCTAGTGCAGGCTGTAGTGTAAAGTGTAAACACTCAGATCTGACGCTTGGGACAATCATGGGACATCACGCAGTAGTTTGCGTATCTGCAGAAGGATGCCCCCGGTGCTTGTTCCATCGTATTCATCTTTCTTCCATTGGCTGTACTTTGCCCAAAAAAAGCCTGTCACCCAAACAAACTATGTTACTAATGTTGCTACAGCCAATTCACCCCGATACTATAGTAAATACATGTAAATACTGTAGTATCTGTAGTAAATCATGCAAGTAACCAACCGAGACCATGAAAGACCTGTCGATGCAAGTTCCAGGTGTCCTCGAACTTGTCATTGATGAACACACGCTTCACGTACAAGCGCATGGCACGGCCCTCAGGGGAGAACATGTCACGAGTGAGCTCGAAGGGCATCGTTGAGGGGATGAAGACCAAAGCCCTGAACTCGATCTGGCCTTGCAAATCAAGAAAAACAACAAGGTGGTCAGTGCGCTGTAACATGCTATCATGGTGCCAAGTCTGCTTTTCGATTGGTAAACCGTTGCCATACGTTGCCGTATAGTTTGCCGTGAATGCTAGAGCTGCAAAACCCAAAGGGCAAACTCTTAAGGCCACATCCACGTGCCTTCAACCTTGAAGTGGGTGACCGTCATGGGCTCATCAAAGGCCTGACCAGGCACCGGTGGCGCACCAGGAATGATCGGAGTCTCCCAAACGGTATGACATGTGCAGACAGCCAAGTAATCACCGGACGACTAACCGGCTAACTTCCACGGGCCAAACATCGGCCCACAGTGGTGAGAAGATTCCGTACGATTCACGGCTAGTAGTTTCTTGCTTCTAGTAGTAAGGCCAGGGGCCCCTAGTAGCATCCTTGTTCCTAGCTGCGATCAAACACCACACAGCCATGCCTTGAAGGTGGTCTTGTAGAATTCCGTGTATTCTGACTGGTTCACCACATCAGGGTTTCGCAGCCAGATTGGCTTCATCTTGTTCATGATGTCCCACTCGTAGACAGAGCGTGGCACACTCTTCATCTTCTGCTTTTCACCCTCCTTGGGAGGTGGTGCGGACTCATCTGGCACTTGGTCGTACTGAACCTTCTCGTTGTAAAGCTCGATTGGGAAGGTGATGAACTCACTGTACTTCCTAAGGTCCAAAGAGACTGACGGGCCAACACAAAAGCGTGTAGATGTTCAGCAAGAGTGTTCCTACTGTGTTTGGTAACGTCCACCAACAGCAAACGTCATGCTTCAAAGGCATCCCTCCCTCCAAAAAAATGAATCTATGCTTCCCAAGTCGCTTCAGCAAATCTGACAGCTTGCCAGTGTCCAGGTACTCCTCTAGAAAAGTGGGGGCATGCACTAGACTCTAGACATCTCTAGACTCCTGTTCTTTTCAAGTTTGTGCTGCACGCAGGGCATGTCCATCGCACAATCTTCAAATGACACCATTACAGTACCCGCCCAGAAATGAAGAAGATGTGATTGCGCCAGGTCGATCCATATCGCACCAAGCAAGCCGACAGTCGATGTGCCCTTCGCTCCCCTCCTGGGCTTCTTCCCTCAAATGAAGGACAATCTTGGTGCCACTTTGTTCGCCGAAGAATTTCTCCTCAGGAGTTTCCGTGATCTTGTAAGAATGTCCTCCAGGCCACTTCAGCAATCAATGATGGCGGTTCACCACGGTTCACCCATCAATCATTGACAGGTCCTACGTCCCAATAAGCGTGAATTGGTGGCTCATGGTCCCAATATTGACCCGACAACCCGACATCTCGCACTATGTCCTGTGGAAGACCAGAACCACGTCTTTCCATCGGATTCATCCTTGAAGCTCTTGGAGTAAACATCGACCTGAGGCGATGCTTGCTCACAGCGGTAAAGAGGGAGGGATCAAATAAGCGTCAATTTTGTCACATCCATCCACACCGCTCCAGCAACAAACGTGGGATACAAGTGCTCGCTCCAGCATGAGCCGTGTGAGGCATTTATGATGAACAAATCATGAAGCATCTACCCAAGAAAATGTCATCATATGGACCTAAAATGTGATCCAGCAATTCATTGCTCTTGATATGGAGCGGCCTTGTTGGCCACCAAGAAAGCCGAGTAGAAACCCACACCGAACTGTCCGATCAGGCTAACATCTGCATCACCGCTTCCAAGCTCCTTCACAAAGTTGGCAGTTCCTGCAACAGTGAAAGTCATGAGATGAAAATGACAAATCTGTTACTGCAAAGGCGCTGTGAGGGGATGGCAATGCACACTAGAATCCATAGTAGGCTACAATGCAAATGTTGTGGATACGATTTATGGCCATTGTCAATTGTAATACATTGTAATGTTATGTAGGTCATAAAGATCATAAAGCACTGCACGTGATATGTATATATCACCTTGGTTGGGGAAAAACAATGCTAGTCATGCGGCCTGAGCGGGCAATTCGGCCCAAATTCTCTTTGAGCTCCTCCTTCAACATGCCCACACCATTGTCCTACCAAGCCGTGTGACAGGTTCAACCAACTTCCAAAAATCGCCAAGGCGCATTTCTCCGGTAGAAGACCTAAACTAGACTAAAAGAAAACTCATGAAATAACTGGAAGTCGGTTGACTGACTGACTCGATGGGCGATCCACAACCGTTGGCTCCTCGATGGTGAGGGTCCTTTTTTCCTTGTCCGAGTTGATTCGGAGCTTCATTGGCTCCGGCGGAGCGTCGCTGTTGGTGAGTGCCAAGAAGCGCTTCTTGTCACAGGCGTCGGCCGCGTTGGAGACCAGCTCGCGAAGGAACACGTCCTCCAAAGGAGGAGCACATCAGCTACACCGGTTGAGGTATAAAAGCAATGTAAACCAATGCAAGTTCACCCGCCTATAATTGAGAAGCATTAGTCACTTGTAATCACTTAAAGCACAAGTTGGCTTCTGCTCATGCAGTCCTTGTTGGAGTACAAGGAATTGATGATGATGTCCATAACTCGACCAACCTCAGCCTGAAACTCAAACTCTTCACCATCCGCTTCCTCTGTCGCAACGGCAGTCCCAGCACTTTCAGCTTCTGCCCGACGTGCTAAGCTGAATTGCCTCCAATGGATGTAGAATTCTTCCTTCATGTCAAACTGAATGACCTTTTCTCATTTTCTTCCAGCAATACCATATATTAGCATCAGGAGCAAGAAGCTACTAGGGGCTCCTGGCATCGCTACTAGGAGCAAGAAGCTACTAGGAACAAGGACGCAAATTGACGGATTGGGTGGAGCTGTTGAGCACACACAACGCAGCCCTGCCTGTGTCGCTGCGCAGTGGGGCGGCCCTTGGCAATCGTGGAAAATGCCATGGGAATTCCGAAGTACCTTAGCACTGTGAATCACAGCTAGATCATATCGCTAACCTGACTACCCCAGCAACGAAGCAGCCCAGGTACAAGAGGAAGCCACACACCAGTGAGGTCAAAATCGGCGAGGCCTTCCCCTTCGACGGGCGGATTGAGGTTGCCATGGCGTCACCGTACAGCGCGCTGCCGATTCAAGGGTGGAGCTGCTGTAACTTGTAGCCGAAAATGCTGCCGGGACTTGCAGCTCATCGCTCAAGCAATCTTAGGCTCATCCTTTTTGGAAGTGTCTGGGTCTGCGCTCAAGCTATGGGGAACAAATCGGATGGTCTATGTCCCATGCTCGTTCGATAATGACTCTTTACCGTGCTGCTGATACTTACTTACTTACTTACTTGGTACAATATATATATATGTATGTATGTATGTATGTATGTATGTATGTATGTATAACACATAGCCTTTCCATGCTGGAAAGCGAGTCTGGCCAACGTTCGTTTCCAAAGGACCTTCTCATTGTGTTTTGGCATGGTTCTGTGAGCTCCACCTGCTTTGTCCACCAGGGAGAGTAGGACTCCGTATGCCTTGAAGGCTGGGGCCTGACTAGTAATTACTGCCCAATGCTTCCGAGATCTTCCGCGAATGTTTTCCTCAAATGCCCACAGTGCCCCAGGCTGAGTTCCCAACGGTTCTCGCAGAAGCTCGGGCCGCTACGCCCGAGAATCCAGCTGAGGGGGACATGTCGAATGGATGATGGCAACGTTTGCGGGATCTTTGCGGAATCCTTCTAGATCTTTTGTCAGTGGTCTCTCACCATACGCGAATCTCAGTAAATGACACACGTGCCCCCCCCCAATTGTTGTAAATGACTCTATGCCTTTGCCTTCTGGGTCCTTCTAAACTGTGGAAGTTGACTTCGTGATGGTACCAGCAGGACCCCAAACATTTTTACTGAGCACGCAGCTCACAGTGAGTGAAAGGGCAGGCACAGGCTCCCAGCAGCCCTTGCAGCCGACAAACAGTCACAATCGCACATATACATGCACGTATTAGTATAGGATGATATTATTGTAATTATTGTAATAATATGATTATATGCATATGACACGTATATGCTTGTATATCATATAAAAAAAACCTCCGCATTCCGCCAGGGGGTCCTGCTTGGGATTTCATAGATATAAAACGGGGGGGTTGGACGTACTGGCGGATATGTTTGATGGAGCCCCCATATAATTTGGTGGGTACGGACGTGCATTTTGAACTAGTTTTGATACCTGTCGGAGAGCACTCGTGTCCGTGATACACTGCAACAAGGACAACGGAATGATTTTACAGAGAGGAAATCGGGATGAAATTCGTAACTCGTAATGCGTGCCGCGTAACGCGTACACATAAGTCTGGACCTTTTGGGGTAGGTATGGGGTGGCCATGTGCTATGTACAGGCTGGGATAGGCTGTGTATGCGTGAGCGTAACGAACACCCAATTACAAGGAACATGTGCTCTATAAAATCATAAGCCTGGACCCCTTGGGGTAGGTATGGGGTGGCCATGTGCTATGCACAGGCTGGGATAGGCTGGGTATGTGTGAGCGTAACGAACGCCCAATTACAAGGAACATGTGCCCTATAAAATCATAAGTCTGTACCCCTTGGGGTAGGTACGGGGTGGCTATGTGCTATGCACAGGCTGAGGTAGGCTGGGTATGTGTGAGCGTAACGAACACCTAGGTACAAGGAACATGTGCTCTATAAAATCATAAGTCTGGACCCCTTCAGGTGGGTATGGGGGTGGCTATGTGCTATGTACAGGCTGGGTATGCGTGAGGTGAAAAGGTTGGTTTTTTTCTATGAAATCCTGCGTCCAAACGTACCGGCGGAACGGAAAGACAGGCCACCACTATAAAGTCGCATGCTTGACCGCTGGAGGACTTATACTCAGACAGTCTGTATCTATGAAATCCTGCGTTCAAACGTACTGCCGGCATAGATCTAACCTGGACATTCTTGATAGCACGCGGTTGTCTATAAATCACAGTGCATTCGTAAAAGTTTAAAATACAAAATCACTATGAAATG